CGAGGGAATTTTCTCTAGTGAAAGCTGGATTGACTTTGTCTCAAATGTTACCCACAGCTAGAATTTTTTTCTTTAAGAATACTGTCTTCGCTCTTGAGCTATTCCATAGCAAAGAAACAACATAAGATTCTTCAAAATGAAACAACCTAGAGGAAACCAGAAAAGCTCTTAATTGTGGATAGGCATTATGTCTCCTCTCTTTTACTCTTTAATTGAAATTGCTCTGGATATCAGAAATCATTCCTCTGCGGAAGAAACCCTTTCAGCTTAGTGGTAAAAAAATACAGTTAATGAGACAGGGGATCAGGGGGCTGGGGTGTTTTAGCCTTTCCCCACTTTTCGCTAGGAATGCAAAAATTAACCAATGAATCACCAGTCATGATCCTTCTTGTTCTGTTTTAGCCCCCCCCCCACTCTTTTCTCTGTCATAATTCAGAGTTCTTAGAACATTTTGACTTTTACTTCAAAACATTTGTCGCAAAAACGATTTCTCTATGTAAACAATTTTGTCTTCGGCATTCAAGTTAACAACCACCGGGACACGATCGTTAGAAAGAAATCGTGAAAATCGTGACACCCACAGTATTGCCATGGACGTCATGGATACATTATTTTTTGACCCCTGGGTATATAATTACTGTGTAGTGATTTCATAGCATTCCTACAACTGTATCGGTTTTCCTTACAAAAATGAATTTGCACTTCTCCCTATATCTTTGTTTCAACTTTTGAAATCCCATCTTCCTGTTAAACATTCTTTTCTTTTGCAAACAATGTTTACTTCTGTATTATCAGTTTGTTTGACTTAGGCCTAGCGTGGTTATTTTCTGCCTTCTGCTGATTTTCTCTTTTCTATTTATAATTTTACTGACCCGGAATATCTTTGATTTATTGGACTCAAAATATTTCAGATATGATTATCCAGCTTCCATGTAATCAGCTAGAAGATAAAGTGTTTGGTCATGTGGTCAACATACAAACAGTGCGCTCGTCCCTAACCCCAAAGTATTCATTTCTAACTAGAGGGGGATAATGTTTTTCGTAAGAAAACTAAATCTTGATGAACCAGTTATTGTCTTCTCATCTGAAAGGAAGCCCTATAAAACAAGGAACAAGCAGGTATGGGAGTTTGAAGTAGCTCTAGATGCAATCCAAATGGCAACTTACTTCTTTCCTACTTTCGCCTTCTTTCTTTCATAATTTCGCCCTCGCACAAGATTCCATTTTGAAAGAGGGAAGATAGTTATAATGCACATATTTTGTATTTAAACTGCACTTTGCTTTATGCAGATTTCGAAAGAGAAGCTCACTATCGAGTTTCGTAGCCAGGCAAAGACCGTGGAGCATATCACAGATTGAGGGGGCTAGAACTCTTCGCTTTCGCGGTCCCTGTAGCCATGCACTCCCTGGAATAATCTTTTGCATAACGTAACATGGTTAAAACACAGTCCCAGTCTGTTTTCATTGCTCTTTACTGTATGAATGAAATTCTTATAAGGGGGAGGGAGCATGGTGCTGAGAATAAACCTATATTTATTAGATTTTATCATATATCATGTTTTATCAAACCCCCAAATTCCCCGCTTCCGGCGACCCTTGTTTTTATGATAGATAGGATATCGAAAAAGACGAGGAATATTTTGGTTTGAAGCAGATAACAATGATCGGCATCGACCGGAGCTGTGTAGTTATAAGAACTTGCAGATTTTAAGGAACACCATATAAATTTAATGAATGCTAGTGAAAATAAATATTGCAGCTCCTTTTGTGTTTGTCGTGGGAATTTTTTCATTTCCGTGGTTTCAGTTTACACAGGACCAGCACTCCAATTTCCACAAGCAGTTGCGTGCATTGATTTTCAGCTTGGAAACTGAATCAGTTTCACAGGAGGTCTGCCTTATGTGGGTAGGAACTGTTTCTTTGAAGCCATCTGACTTCGGCATGCTTGCGGCTTTGCGGTTGGCGGCGAGGGCAGGTGACCGTTATGCATCGGTTATTAAGTCCTTAAACCTCGTAAAGGAGTAAACGAGGGACAAAAGCCAGGATAAGCGTTTGAATTTGATTGGATGACGTATAGCCTAGAATGGCCTTTGCAACCGATGATTGGCTAAGTAGCGCTTTAAACATCCTTATCACTATCACCCATATATCTTAATTACTTGCTAATTTCAAGGCTGGCAGTTAAAATTCCATTATCTATACTGATTCCAATTACCTATCATTCTGGTTAATATTAAGCGCAATAAAAATCTGGCCAAATTCCACTCCCACACTGCTTGTGGCTTTTTCATATCGAAATGATAGTGTGCCTCATATACCAACTAGAACAACCATTTTCACTGGCAAAGATCCTTTCTATGTGATAGCATATTTACTGAAACTTCTAACTTCCTTGCACTTGTTTGCAAAATTCAGTCTTATGTCTCAGAAATAGCAAACGTTGGGTCAAACATTTATAATCTGACATATTCGGCACTCTCAAAGTACTCAGTACACGAACAATGTTAAGCCATTTGACGATTTTCCTTACAAATGTTACAATCTGTCTTTATAGTTTGACAGCCATTATCAAGAGAGGGAAGCCATGTACATGACTGATTCGTATCGTGCATCAAGCAAATTGTATTTCAGTCAAGAAATCCATGGATTAGTTATCTGTGGACTTTCGGATATGTAAAAACTCTTCGGTATCTTTTAGGGGGTAGCCTCGCATTCACAAAAGCTGTTTACAGAACCTGATGATAAACAAAACGTTTTCAGATGGATAATGACTGTTGTGTTTAAGGGCGTGTGGGGCGTCGTCACTTATTTTCGTTTCACCAAGAATTTAATCATATGACCACACCTACAGCAGGCCTGTCACGCCTATGTTATCGAAAATTTCTTCCCTTGCAACCTTAGTAAATTTCATACAGGACTTTTACAATTCAACCCTACCCTGATATCTATGATTGGCCTATACGTAAGAGACATGGGAGCTGGAAGACCTGCAGCCTCGATTATCTGGCAATTTTTTCGCATTTCAGGCTCTGTTCGGGCTTTTCTTTCCCGATGAAGCAATAATATTCCGGCAAGATCCACATTATGACCCCAAAAACAATCTTCATCCGTTATGCCAATGTCTATGCTTTCCCCCACCTCGCCCCCTCCCCTTTCGAATCACTAATGAGAGAAGACAACGATAAGGCTATTTTCGTATTCATCCAGGTTTGTCTCTTTATTTCTGAAAGTGATACGTTCTTGTAATTCCTTGTCAAACCTGTCTCCCAGCGCGAACTTTAATCAACGAGAATTTGTTTGAAAGTCTATCCGTAGACCATTCAACAGGACAATCGTATCACCGTATTATCTTCTTGAACAACTTATTTGGATTATGTCCTTTGGTTGTGCAAACACGGCTAGCCTCCCAGGCTTTCACTGCGTGGTCAGTAAGCCGAGGTTACCACAACTTGCGTTTGACCCTTGATGAACATGTCGGCTTTGATTCACAGTATCTTTGAATCAGCCGGTCCTTTTATTTGCCATCGTCTACAGAGAGGCTTCATCTTATCGGTAAACAAGGAGCGAATCGTTGTAAAGAATATCATCCTTTTTCAGAATTTTAATTATCCATAAAGTAAGTATGCAAAGAGGGGCAGAGGAAGGACCAATGAAGGGCAGGTTGTAATTTCATACACAGGGTGACGAAGGACATGGCCACGATTTTAGCGGCCACCTGACAAAATTATCTTACAAAGATATCATTTGCGAGAATATATCCAGAGATATGCTGAGAGATACGAAAGCACGCAACGCCCAGCGATAAGAGCACATTGCTGTACATCAAAATTCAAAGATAGATGGGGGGGGGTAAAGAATGGAGACCTTTGCTGAAAAGTGATAAACAATGTATGGCACCCTGGCTCCACATCGTTGACAAGGCCCGTGCTATAAAAAAGTCCATGAAATTGGTATATATCTTATAAAAAAGTGCAGGCTTGAAACAAACTACCCTGGGTATAAGACTCCCTCTTATTTTATATAGAGTGATTCTGGTACCCATGGGAAATACAGACACACTTACCAGCGATTTTTAAAATGGACTTCCTATTTTTTATCTATTGAAACTTTAGTGTTTATTCCAGTTTGTTGTAGGATTAGTAACTTTTTTGAAAGGTTTGAAGCTTACAACCAGGCCAGAGAGGTGCAAAGACCGAGAGACATTTTTTTGGGAGGGGGCAGCCCTATTATTCCAAAGTGTAAAAACAGCCATATTTTACAAAAAAGTATTTTTCCTTATACTACATACGTTTTTTGGAGGGGCCAAGGCCCCCACGGCCCCCCAGTATCTCGGTCCTTAGAGAGGTGTATTAATTTCAAGAACAGAGGGACACATGAATTGGGTTTAACAAATCATATTTTCTGATGTTCTTAAAAAAACTTCGATAAGCTTGGTAAAAGGGTCCAGCTTCAATTTGTGTCCTTCAACAATTTGAATCTTTCTTTGGCATTACGCGCCTAAAGGGTCCATCTGGGTGACGTCAAGGTTACGTCAGAACAAATCCATTATCAGAATTTTGCCTTTTGACCAAACAATCTAAAAGATCACCATCGCCATGAGATACCTAAATATGCAATAATGTGTCAAAAAGTTGAGTGAGAAATGGCCAATGAAAGATTTGAAGGTTCCTAACGGATTACTGTTATTTTGGCACTGTTCATAAAGTTACAGTGATTTCTTCTCATGTACAGATGTGCACATTTAGGGGTATGTCATAAATGATGATGCACTTTCAGGAAAAATGTATTTCAGATTCAGAAGTTCTGCAAATAGAATCTTGTGTCGTCATCATTTGATAACTCTTCATTTGAAGCCTATAGACAATTTTGTTGCCTATGACTTGGAAGCAAGGCTACAATAACGGGAGCGCACGGGGTGCCACAAGGATACCTACTTTCCGTAGCTCTCTATTTTCTGCTGGACAATGCGTGGCAAAATAAATGTAACTGTGGTGCAGCACATGACAACTGCAACAACAAAGTTCTTTGACCTCATGGACTCGATGTAAGATGGAAGCCGGATTTCAGACAGTTTCGTAACTTTAACATTATTACGTTCGTTATTAAAATAAAGAGAGAGAAGTCCAGAAGAATGTCGCGCCAGATACAGCAAGGTATAAACAATTCCTATATCCTGTTTGCTGCATATGACATGACCAGCAGAATTCATATCAGAGTATGCCTTTAAAAAAATGATGAAACTATACCTTTTACAGAACTCCTAAGCCATAAGAATTCGTTCTACATTTTTTAAACATATCCCTAACCAGTGAAATTTACCAGCCTAACGCCTTTATATAAATGTATATATTTTTTCTATACTCTTACATCCTTAATTTTTTACTTTTACTGTTATACACTACTTCAAACTGAAATGGAAATTATAATCTTGAGTTTAAATACGTCACTAGGACATATGACTCGATAGCTCCTCGCGAGTTTTTCTCATGTGTCCTTCAGCATAACAAAACCAATTTATCTGATGTACTTAATTAATTGAATTTTTGAAAATGCTAACTTTTTTATTCTAATTTTTAATTCTTGGTATATTGTAATTAACATTTGTTTTTGCTGATAAAGATTTTGAGTTTGAGTTTTATAAATTAAAACGAAATTTTATTTGTAATTTAAAAACATGAATAATGAAGTAAAGTTGGCTGTTATCATTAAGGTATGGTAGAAAAAATATGAATGTTATTTCAACTGTTGGTATCTATGAAACTGTTCAAGTTTATGAGTAATTTTGCCCCTTAAGGGGCAAGACCTTGCACACTTGAGGTATTGTTGAAAACTGCCATTTCTTTATTTTCCTGAAATTTTGCAGGATGGTTTCCATGTAACTTATGCTAGAGATTTCGGCAAAAACTGCGTAACTCCCTTGGCATACTAGCTATTGTATAACAAAGAAATAATAATACGTCTGTGTTAAGGTGGAGATGGGTTGGCTGCCAGTGTTTGGGAGGCAGTGTATGACTTAAAAACAACTGTTGTTGGTGAAAAGGATGGTTGATAGATTTGATCATGCTTGTATATCATACAACTTTTTGGCATTCACATTCAGCTGTAAAATGTTCAGCACAGCTTCATAATCCAGTGTGAAGTTTACATGGATTTCACCCTGACAATTTTGGTCATACATTGCCACTGGGTGGAATCCATTTAGGCTCACACCAGAGATACTCTAGCTATAGATAGTAGAGCAATGGGAAATCATTAGTGCACACTGGATATCTCTGATAATACATTGTATGCAGAGTTTTTCTAAGTATCCTTTTTGTAAAAAAGAGCCTGAAACTAAAGATGAGGGGGTGACATAATCAGGATTTTATATTAAGATGAAATTTATTGGTTTGAGCAGAAAGTTTCAGCATTGCTTGATTTGATCTAATATATATGCATTTCATTATTTGGAAGTTTGTTAGGTGCTATGTTTTTATCAGACATAGTTTCGTTGCAATTTCTGTTCCAGTTTTTATCAGATAATGTATCGCAAGATATTTTGGAATTGATACTCATTAATGTTTCTATGTCAAAATTTTTTTCAATAAAGTTAATTGAATTTTTTGGTAGTAAAATATTTTGTTTACCATTGCTAACAGGCAAGGATACAATCATTTTCTTATCCAAAGAAGAATTAGATGAGCCATCACAGATTAAATTGGAATACGAAAAAGAAGATGAAGAGCATATGGGGCTAATCAAACCTGATGGCGAAATTAATTGGAACTGTCCATGTCTTCAAGGAATGGCAGATGGGCCATGTGGCCAAGAATTTAGAGCCTCGTTCTCTTGCTTTCATTTCAGTGAGGCAGATCCTAAGGGCTCAGATTGCATTGATCAATTTAGGTAAACACACTCTATCAACTTTAAGTGTTTTCTGCTTGTTTAAATACTCATTGCATTTCAAATGATATGTTATTTTGCCATAATTTAGAAGCATTCCTATCATTTTAGCCACTCTTTGTGAATGCAATCAAACCCACGTACATTAGGTCCCATCAGATCTTCAAATCAAAAGGCCAGGCTTGCTCAAATATCTATACTACAAAATCTGACTTATGGGATAAAAGTTGATAACAACATTTATATCAGATGGGTTGTTAACGATTTATTAGCGTTAGCCAATCTGTGGCAATGTAGACAGTACTCGGTTTCCTTCTCAATGCAATATTATCAATATTTTTTTAATTTGCTTGCAGCCCACAAATTATGGTGTTTTACTATTATTTATTTGTAGGTCAATGCAAGAATGCTTTGTGCAGCACCCCGAAGTTTATTCTATGGATGATGATAGTGACAAGAAAGACATAGAAAACGTTGAAAATGTGCCAGTTTTGGCTAACAATGAATCCATTGAAACAAATGCTGACAAACCAGAAATAGAAAAAGAAATTTCAGAGGAACTTAGAACTGAATCTTCGGAAGATAAAGTTGATGAAAAAGTAGCAGTTACTGATAATCTTGAAAATGAAACAATTGCAGATAAGAGCTAATTAGGTTCTAGTTTTATAGGCATGTGATGTTTATAATTCTCAGTTTCCTTGTTAGGTGTGTGTCCATCATTGTGAGTTTTTTTAAAGAACTATTGTTTACAGGAAAGTATTCTCTATATGTTTTAAAAATGACTGGCTGGTGATAAAGCATTTCCAAAAAGAAAGAAATTGTTTCTGAAATGATTTTTTCATTGAATCAAGATTTGTGATTCACAATATATCTGGATACTATTTTTCATTTATGCAATGACTTGATATTGTTTGCAAATATTTCTTTGTTGAAGCAATAATCACACATAGTTTTGCTGTTGTAATTTTCTAATGGTTAAAACTTCTCAAATCTGATTCATCATAAATGGAATCTTGAATTCATTTGATTACAATGTTGTAAGCGAATTGCCCAAGGTATTTTTTGAGGCTTGCAATAGAGGTCATCCACTAATGATTGAGCCTGTGAGGCATTGGAATGACACCGATAATCCTGCATGGATGTTTTTTAGGACAAAAAGCCACTTTTAATTATTTTTAAATAATATTTCTTTTGTCATGCTACTTTGTCTGTCAGCATCAATCAAAAAGTGCAAAAAGACATTAAGTTCATAATTTACTTGGCAGAAAGCAAAAGGTTCTAAGATGTTATTCTTATAGTGGTATAGTGGTTTCAATAAAGAATAAAGCATGGCTCTAAACCTTTTCAATCTCCACTCCAACATCTGTGGACTTTGCTCCAATCTTATTTCTGTCTTTATTGAAAGCAAAAAAATAAGCTTGACTTTTCCTCACTCCCTTTCTAATCCCGCCTCCCTTTCCGTTGTTGGGGCTTAGCTATAGGGACTTGAACCTCCCCTAATATTACCAACTTAAAAATTGGTTCTATGGACCCTAAAATATGTCTTTAACCAGGGAACTAAAATGATGTATTTAATAGATTTATGTCAGCATAAAAATAGCAGTGGAGATTCCTTAAAATTGCATAACAACCTTTATGCAGGTAATACCTTCCCCTTCAATGCTGCCCCAAATGGATTTATGTGAATAACAAGTTTTCTCTAAACCATGCAGGTTTAAATTTTGTGACGAAAAGATTCTGATGTTGTGAGTCTTCCAAAATTCCAGTATTTCACGAAACAACCACGAAGAGATAGAATAATTAAAAGTTTGATAGAAAGATGGAAAAAACGCTTTTTGGTAAAAGTATCTAATTAGTAGTAAACAATTTCGAACATTTTCTTGAATGATCCCTCAATCATTCTCTCAAATAAATCAACAATATTCCATTCATTGATATTATCATAATCAGAAAAAAGTCACAAAACTCGTTTTTAATAAAGAAGAACTGTAATGTTTTCTTGATAAAACTGATATATATTCTTGATATATAGCTAATAGAGGTATTTTTTTCGTTTACGTCTATTTTGGTGATACCTGTTATGGGGCGAGAATATCATAAAGTGGAGTCAGAAGTGTTAGTTTTCCCAAAGACCAGTGAAAGGGACAGATGTGCGATAGACGGAAGAATTTCTTGCGGCTAACCGAACTTCTGAGGCTGATCGATTTTTAAAAATTTGCGGACAATTTTTCAGAAAACATCCAAAACTCAAGAATTTCTTCTACAAAATGTCTTCCGCGAAATATCTGTAGAAATAAAATCTTCGTCAAGATTGCCAATAACAATGTAAAAATAATGTACAGTTGATTCCGCTTAAAGTCACTCTACCGTTCTCTGTCACATAAAATTTAGACCCAAACATTTAAAACTGTTCAATAAGCTCTATTTACAGTCCCACTCTGCTTAGAGGTACAGCTTTTCTGGGAACATTTGATGTGACTATAGCCGGAGTTTACTGTACTCCAGAGGAAAATTTAAGTTGAATTTAAGCAACACTGGACATCAATATTAAAAAATCTGATAAACCTGGATCAAAGCCAAGTCATGCACAGTCACTAATGATTAATTGAACATTTGATAGAAAGCAATCTGTTATCTTTTATCTACTTACCAATATAAAAACAAAGTCGTTTTGTATTTCTTATTTTAAAAAAGGCTATTAGATTTGTTTCTATAAGAAAAGTAAACAGTCAACTTGCATTTAAGACCATAATACCCTCTTAACAAAAAGAATCCATTTTTGCTTAGCGTTAATATTTTTCACTTGAAAATTCAGCTATATTTTCATAACATTTCCTCTATAACTCAACAAAAGATGACGAATTTAATAAAAAATGTAGTAAGAAGTATTCTTGTTTACATAGAATCTAATACCTTATTGTAATTAGAATTCTACCTACTCATTAATATAATATTTTTCTGAAATAATTTTGGTTTATCTTTCTAACCAGAAACATCATCAAAATACAGAAGTTTAATTAAAGCGATTATTTTGGTGTAGGTGTAGATGAGAAAAACTCTCTTGATCAGTTTCGTGACATCTGCGAGCACACATTTTATTGACAACTACTCTATTAAAATTTATAAAACTTCCATACCATTGACGCGATTTTTCAGGCGTTAAATGTGGACATTTTATAAGCAAATTGAAAATGAAAACGAAAAAACCCTTGAAACTCTTTGTTCCGACTGAAAAAGTTAGAACTTCGTTGACAACAGCGTTATGCTAGCTACGTTAACGAATGTCCGGTCTCAAACCTTTTTCCATTTCGCGATTCTTTTTCGCGCAAAAGTTTCTCTCGCGTATAAAAGTGCGCAAATAATTGATGTTACGTTCACGCATACATTTTGCGCGAAAATCAAAATGCTCAAAATCCTAAACGAATAAAGGTATGGGAAAGGTTTTCGCGCTTTTTGGAGAGAACTAGAATAGTGAACCGCTGATGATGATTTGGTGTGTTTGCTACTTCAAGATTTTTCAGGAGCTCTTTAATTCTTTAACTTACGTTCAATGATAAGGGTAGAATGAAAGAGCATTATGTTGACTATTCATAATGTTGACTATTGGTTAAAGTAGATCGTTGATTATTCATTAAACATTCGTTACTTCATGGAAAGTAGTTCAAAATTTAGAACCTCTCAAGAACAATGAAGATACTTCGGGATATTTAAGAAGTATGATCTATCCACTTCTGTTTTTTCTTGTTTTATTCACCGTCTCATATTTGATCTTTCCTCTCTCTCCCTCTCTCTTCCTAATCCCTCATCCCTTTCCCTTCTTAGGGCTTAGCTAAAGAGCCTTTTCCTAGCAATACCAACTAACAAAATAGCAGTACGAGACATAGGGACATTGAGGACTGCAGCCCCCTTAGTCAGGCAGAGTTTGTCGCATTTCAGGTTCCATTTGGGCAGCTCCATCTTAATTAAGGAATAATATTCGGGTCGGGCAAGGTCCGTACTAAGCTACCCTCAACGTTTAGCAGCCTCCGTGCCTATGTTGTGTCTCACTCGATTAATTGTTCCGCTTTCAATTTAAATAGATCCTTTGGCTAAGGAATGAATTTCGTACAACATGGCACCGGTATTTCTAAGCTGGAACAAAATTATCAATTCGTAATACAGCTACAACTTCTGTAGCCATGGGAATTTTTATTAAAATATAAGGACAATAAAGGTCAGGAAATGGGAATCCCAAACATTAAAAATTTGATTTGGCAAATAACATTCAAGACAAAACCGTGAATCGAATAAAGCGGTACATAGGCAGTTCGTTGGTGATAAAGCCATGTATGCAGGTGTGAAGTATAATATCAATACATTTCAACTCAGTTATACATTCACGCATTACAGGATAATTTCTCATTGCGTCAAAAGTTTCTTTCTCGCTTTGCATCGTTTCTCACGGGCTTTGTTAAAACTCGTGAAAAAAGCTTTTTATAAACAAATCCCTTCAACTAATGCTGGAAACATATTACTTTATGTAGCTAGAAACATTTCCCAATTGAAGCCATATTTGTCCACATTTACGGCAAATATTTTTCACAAGGAAGGACCACGAATGAAATAAATAGTACTTTGTGCTTTACAATATAAAACTATAATTGATTACTTGATATAGAATCGATACTTGTAAAACATATATGATTATTATTGGTAACTTGCGTAATTGAACTGTATACAAAGGGAAAATATAAATAATTTTTACAAAGAAAGAACTTTATATTTGGTGATTGAAAGAAGTTTATCTAACATTGAAAGATTTATAAAAGGATGTCCCCCTAAAACGGACACTTCTGTTAGCGGACATCTCCCTTCAACAGAGACCTCCACAAACGGGTACCTCTCTATAATAGAAAGGCATCTCCCTAGAATGGACATATTCCTTACAAACACCTCCCTACAGCGGAAATCTCTATAAATTGACGTCTCCCTACACCGGACAGCACTAGTATCCGAGATTGGGTGGTGTCCACTGTATTCAAAATCTAAGGGCTGGTTGTGAGGCAGGGTTGGGACAGATTCCTGGTTTTCATGGCGTATTGCAGTGGTCCTGAAAAATTGCGAAACGGCAATAAAATAAAACAACATCAAAAACAGATAGATTTCGCAGGACAAGTGCAATTTTCAACAGGCCCTTAACCTCATAAGGATCGTATACAGGACTCCTGTTGACCTTGAAATTAGGGTGGGGGGAGGGGGGGTCCCGTTTACAAGGAAAATTCTTCGTATTGTTTTCCAACTAAATCTTTGCTATACTGTAAGACGTACCCTTCCACAAAAAGATTTATTCTCTTGTAATCTTATGCTAAATTGTTTACTTTTAATGCTGGTATTGGCTTTGTTTCTACGAAAAGTATCTAGGTTTGAGCATGAGAAATTCTTCCTGCGTGCTTTGCGAACTTCAAATGTCCGAATAGCACTTACTTTAGACATGCGTTCTTAGGCAAATTAACATTCAATTTTTATATATAAACATGGCATTTAAAAAACTCAAAGAACACAATAAGAAACTATCACCTTTAAAATTATGTTCATTATGATACAAAATAATCTAAAACCCCATTTCTCTGTTAATCTTTTTCTTGCGAGGCGTCGTCCGATCATTAGAAAGAGGAGCTTTCTTCCTTTCAGGACTATAATTTAGCTGTGAAGAATTTGCAGTTCTGCTATAATCACCAAGCACGCTAATATCTGGGTCACGGCTTTCCATTGCATTTGAATATCGTCTTTTCCTTACACCAATATCATTCAAGTCTGTAGCATACAAAGTTAGTGGATCAACGTGACTTGTGTCGATTGCACCTTCTGGATCAAACAGTGCCTTCTTTACGCTCTTGCTAAAGCTAGAGTGAGGATTGTCTGTTTTTTTAGAAAGCGCATCAGTGCTGGAAGTATCGTTTTTTATTGAATAAGCTTTGGGCTCCAAAACAGAGGCAGAGTCATCTGGTATTGTGTTATTTTCGATGTTTAACTCAATGCCATCGTTGAAAGGCTTTATTTCTGCGGGTGTAGGGCCTGATTGTTTCCCTGCTAGATCACCCATCGATCTCCCTAAATTAGAAGATCTAGTTCTCTTCGAAATATTTGATTCTCTCTCTCTACCATATATAACATCTGCTTTTTCTTTTTTATGTTCCAACCGACCTGATGCGCTTAGATACCAATCATCGTTAATTTCCTCAAGGTCCTTCCTTGATTCTCTCGGGGGTGTTCTCGTTGTCATTTCTTCTTTTATAGTGTCTTTTTCTTCCCCTTCTACATTCAGTGATAAACCAAGCGGTGTATAATTTTCGTCATCGTCCCAGTTGGTCATTAAAACAACACTCACAAGATCTCTTGACTTTTCAACGTTTTTAACAAACCTGTTGAATATAGGCAAGGCTCCAGGAAGAGCCAATTCGCCATTTGTTAAGGTTAAGCGTTTTTCATATGCACTTTTCAGCTGGGTCGATACCTTCGTGTCCAAATTACATCCGCTGCATACTGAGCTGTCCTGTTGGAGGGGTGTCTTACATACTGGACAAACCTTATAAACACATCCACTAAGATCCATCTCATTCAATTCGATAGAAGACTTACCTCGCCTCTCTTCTTGCAATTCTTCATCTGCCTCATCCGCATTTTCATCCACAGCCTCGACATCAAAGATTCTCCCACGCTCCCCAGTTGCATCTTGGGTATATTCTCGGTTTTCACAGTTACTATTTTCTGTTGTTGCTCCCTCTGATCTCGTTTTTTCCAGTCTAGCTCGAGCCTCCATTTGATATTTTTGTACTTCAGCAATAACACCATCGTCAGTACTGACGACTGTCGATGATAAATTAGCCTCTTCATTGAATTCCTTTGATTCGTTATACATTTCGCATGCTTTGTTTATCCAATTCCGGCATCTTTCCTCCATCTTATCAGAAATAACGCATTCAGTCCTTTGAGCCTCATAAATAGATGAATACTCCTCTTTGACGGTAAAGTTTCTATCTGCCTCTGTTTCATCCGCCTCGCTTCCAGTTCTTAGTATTTGGTAGAAAAGATCGCCTGGCTTCGTTAACTGCAATGCCAGAAGGTCTTTAGTTGGTGATGACTTGACAGGGAGAATACTAACGCCAATAAGAGGTTGTGTCATTCTCTTAATAACTGCTGGTGAGACAACACGGCAGTCGTTCTTTATAACCTGAAGCCAGGAGTCTGGGTACGACAGCTAGAAAGCAAATACAATACATCAGGTACCATAACCCGCACTGTCAGTAATAATGACAGCTGATGTCAGTAATAATGACAGCTGATGTCAGTAATAATGACAGCTGATGTCAGTAATAATGACAGCTGATGTCAGTAATAATGACAGCTGATGTCAGTAATAATGACAGCTGATGTCAGTAATAATGACAGCTGATGTTAGTAATAATGACAGCTGATGTCAGTAATAATGACAGCTGATGTCAGTAATAATGACAGCTGATGTCAGTAATAATGACAGCTGATGTCAGTAATAATGACAGCTGATGTCAGTAATAATGACAGCTGATGTCAGTAATAATGACAGCTGATGTCAGTAATAATGACAGCTGATGTCAGTAATAATGACAGCTGATGTCAGTAATAATGACAGCTGATGTCAGTAATAATGACAGCTGATGTCAGTAATAATGACAGCTGATGTCAGTAATAATGACAGCTGATGTCAGTAATAATGACAGCTGATGTCAGTAATAATGACAGCTGATGTCAGTAATAATGACAGCTGATGTCAGTAATAATGACAGCTGATGTTAGTAATAATGACAGCTGATGTCAGTAATAATGACAGCTGATGTCAGTAATAATGACAGCTGATGTTAGTAATAATGACAGCTGATGTTAGTAATAATGATTATGAATCAACTTTTGAACAACTTTTAATAAAGAATAAAACAATAACTTCTCATAAGAAAAATTTACAACATCTTGCGATAGAAATTTACACAACATTTAACGGTTTGAATCCATCTTTTATGGATGAAATATTTTCCATAAATGAATGCCCATAATACTTAAGAAACTCCCAATTCAAAACAGCGGATCCACATTGCAAAATATATGGATTTAATACCATATCATACAGATGTGGCAAATTATGGAACTCGGTTCCAAACGAAATAAAATACTCCTCTACTTTACAAATATTTAAGAAAAAAATCTCAGAATTTACATCGTTCAATTGTACTTGTAATCTTTGCAAGAAATACGTATGCAACATCGGTTATATTTGATTTACATTATATTTAGCGTTGGTAATTTAAATTAGCTGGTTTTAATTAGCTTGAGTATGCATAGCTAGAAATTGTACAAACTTTAAACAAAGAAAGAAAAAAAGCATGTTAGAATAGCCTCATTTTGAGATGTGTTTTTGGGTTATTTTTGTTTTTTCCTGGTTTTATCGAACAATTAAAAATGTTAATATCTTCAAATTCAGGTACAGGAAAAGGGAAAAAGAACGATTAGAGTTCTTTTAAACGCCACGGGGACATATACTATTAATATGATATTCAGAACCGCAGAATAGAAATGAAATAATTGGCGTTTCTACTTTCAATAAAAGGACTCTTGGGCTGATACGAAGTTTGAAGCTAGAGGGAAACCTGAATCTAGCTGACACTTATAGGACCAATTATGGTCCGTTTTAGTGAGGCATCCGCTGTCCGGACGCTTTATCCGATTAGACTTCCATCATTAGCAAGAAACTTGAGACAAAATTAGTTGTCCATTTAATTATGTATGCTGCGAAGATATTTACGTAGATGACAATTTTGGAAGTTGGTAAAAAGCAAACCTTTCTTGGGCTGCCAACACTTGCAGGAGGCTGTGTTTTGCATGTAGCCGAGGTCAGTTCCCGAAGCATCTTTGAAATGGGTTGGCTTCCTTGAGTCAGTTCTATCAGCCTTGTATCCCTGTATCTATACCCACCAAGCAATGCCAAAGTGCGGAACTCGGAATTACAATCATAGTCTGATACTCGTAGAAACTGCGGACTGCTACGCATGTAGTGATTGACTGATACAAGAGGAGTATTTGTGAAACGCTCATCCATTACGATGAGGCCTAGCTCTGACGTCAGCAGCATTTGGTGTGGGTTCACAGGGTGCAGAGAGGCAGGTCGTCTTAGTTTGTCCATTTTATTTAAATTGATGTTTGGAAGTTGAAGAATCGTCTGGGATGGTTTCGGTCCTGCCTTGAATGGCGGAGTAGAAACGATTTAGATAAATTTAAGGTATAATAAATGTTTCGATTAGAAAAATATATCAAGAGAATTAAATTCCTTTAAAAGAAAGCAGATTCTTTAACTGGTTGTCGCTCTCCCTGCGTACAGTGACTGAAATTTCATCAGGGTCATATTATTAACAGCAAAATATGCCAAAGCATCTTGAATTGCGGCTGGAAAATGCGAGAAAATACAGCTAAAGCGATTGCCGTAAGCACCTTGATATACAATGGGGAGGGGCAAATATCCCTCCTTATGAGACTCGCACTTACTGAACGATAGTAAATTATTGAAGAGAAGAAAGCAACTAAACCTACAAACGCCAACTACCAAATGAAAGACAAACACAACAGAGCAAAGGACGATGACGAATTACTCAATTTAGTAGAAAATGATGAATAAAATAAATGAAGAGAAAAAAAAGAAATCTAACACTACTTATACCTATCTACACCACTTAACACTACTAAACATTCTTAGTTCTAATTTTTATTAAAGATCTGTTATTCGCTGTAGGTTAAATTTTTGAAAGATCATTTCCTTACTTGAAACTAAAGGGAATTCTTTTAAAGAGAATATAAAAAGTTCGACAATGAAAAGACTTTGGTAGTTCCAAAAAGACAATACTTAAATAGCTGATAGTGGAATCAACGATGCCAGTCCTAACAATTGTTACTACAAAAATTAGAGAAGTTTTTAAATAATGGTAGAACAGGTGCGTACCCTAGTATCATACATGTAGACGTCCTGTGGGTGAAGAAGCAAGAAGGAAGTTGGGTTGGTGCCATAGATGCAGTTCACCCATCGAATTTCGCCGCAGTTGGGGTGACTGTGAATTTGGTGATCTGAGAAGCATTTCACGACGCCGTCTCTCCAACAATTGATAGTCCCATTTTCAAGACAAATCACTGCATCGTTGATAAAATGAGGATTAACTGCCATTGATAAGATTCTCGACTTTTCTGTCAACGTTTGATTGAGGTTGAAATAATGGTTTTCGCTTGGCTTAGAGGATTCCTGTAATAAGAAGATTTTAACAGCTGTAGATATAAAGAAAGAATTATGACCTTTTTTTAAAAAGAAACTATAATAGGCCATCTCAGAGTTCGCAACGCCATGATGGAATTCTCATGTTCTATAACTAGTTCCAGTCCCTTAGTTGGGGCAAACCACCAAGTATTTCATGGTGGGTAGAGCCTGCTCTTAAGAATGAAGAAGAATGCTTGGAGAAGAATATTGAATGAAAATTTGACATTTTGTTGATTAACAATAGGCCTTGTTTGAACTACAGAGGAATTAACAAATCTCGCTGATATAGGCCGCCATTGTATTTACTGCTGTTTTTGCCCCACTGGTGTCACGGCGTCGCGAACTCTGAGATGGTCTATCTAGACAGCTTTGTCTCTGTTGAGGTAAAATTTTCCGGAGGTGTTCTCTAATGTTTGTCTGTGAGTTTGAAATTATTGAATTGAATTGGATGGAACAGAACATAACTAAATTGAATTGAACTGGAACTGATTTGGTCTCTTATGGTAGTACAAAATTGATTTGGAAGTATTTTTTTTCATTAGAACACCTTATGCATCGATCACCAACTTCAAAAAAATCCTGCACTTCCTTATCGTTGCTGATTTGAACCCACTGCCAGAGCCTAATAGTTAGACTTCAGACAATACACTGAATATTTTGTTAACATCTATGACTCTGTTTCCACTTCTCAGATTATATGAGCTTATTGCTGCGTTTTCACAAACGCAGGGCGGAAAAACGGCACCGTTGCGCTAATGCCTCGCGGTTCCTATACATACGTGCAGGGTAGTAGAAAACAGAGCTCATAGCGGTTGCCTTCAACCCAAGCAGGAATGAAAAATGCATCATTTACAAGGAAAAAGCTCAAAAAGATACAGTTGGAAAGGCTGCAGCAACAACAACGTTAACTATGCCTCTTATTCGATTCAATTTTACTTAACCAGCCTCGTTAAAACGTTCTTGCAACAGTATTCAATTCAAATGAGATGAAAACGGGCGCTTTTCCTTTAAAGCAATAGTTAGTGACCTAACGCAATGAACTCTTGTGCACACGCATCATATTATGTCATTTCCATGTAATTTGATACAATGACCTGAAGTGCCTCAAATGGTATGGAAACAGAAAAGCACGTTCATTAGCGGTATTTGATCAAAGGAATGCTTCGAAATAATCCTTTACAGTGTCAAAGATCTGAATAAAGTAATTAAAGGATTCTTTTACATTGAAATAGAAGTTGATTAATTACATCATATCAGGACCAAAGTAGGATGTAAACAGCATGAAATTTGTTTGCCAAATATTCAACACTGAAGCGAGTCACGTGGTAGGATAAAAAGCTGTTAATTTCTCGACAATACAGGATTGAATATAAATAAGACCTTAACTTGAAACTTAGAAATAGCTTCGATAATAAATATTATAAAATCAATTCTTACTTCTATTTTTAAATGTGTTGACTCAAAACAAAAAACATCAAAGGCGAAATAGCATTAATTTTGCATTTGAAGGCCAACGTTTTAGCATGGAGAGAGGCTGAACAATTTCGCCAGAAATTGATCCGAGCAGTAAAACGCGAAAATGATTCAAATTTCATCATGCTTGATCTTAAACAAATTATGCATGGTCATGGTTATAAGATGCTATGAAATTAACTTACATTGGAAGCATCAGCTTTAAGCCAATAATCATTCTCCATTTCCAACGAATTTAAACAAGAAAATTTACTTTGCACAAAATTTACTTAGAACAGTGAAAGAAAATTTACTTTGCACAAATTATTATTATTAATTTAATTACCCATATTCAACAGTATTAAGTTAATTTCTCACTGTTTACAAAGCATTTATAAAATTTATGAATATTTTAATTTGCATTCGGTGATATGGTGAAATTAAATTCACAAGTGAAATAGATCCCTGAACGCCTTAATATTGACTTGATGTGCAAAATTATTAACGGAACAGTAGTTCAATAGCGTTTGAGAATGATGACGTAAATCTTTTGGTACTCTATAAGCAGGAGTTAATAAGCCACACCCTTCGTACTTGCTTTCATTATAAGATCGCTGTTCTCCTTTGATTCGCTAAATAACATACATCATACGTATCTAGCCGGTCCTCGTGCGTTTTTAAACAACATATGCTACACCTGTCCTGCACACTGATCAACAGATGCTGTCTTCTAGCAGTTGTAGCTTGGAATCGGACGACCATAGTTTAAACGGTTCTTTGTCCAAAAATGTCCGGCTGAAGCTCAAACCAGCGATAATAAGAAAAATGTGTGAGCAACAGAAGAAATTTTTGAAGTTGACCTACAAATTTTCTGTCATTAGGCTGCCCCGCAGTAGAACTTCCACTCGTTCTGTAGCTAGACATATCTTCAACAAGGAAATCCCTCCCTCATTGGCTTGCTACCAATTTTACCCATTTAAGTTCCATCAACCCCCTCTTCTCAGACACGCAAACAATTATTTCAGGTTACCATGATGGCAAACTTCTCAATTTTAATATCTCTTCAAAATACGACCATGCTTTATTTTATCATGAAATCGTCTGTTTTTTCTACACTTTTCCGCATACTCAGTCCATTTAGACATTGCAAGGTCTTTGGCAGAAACATGGAAGAATATAAGACAGCCAGGACAGCATCATCGATATACACAGTTTGAGGATACCCTGCCTCGACACCCTTGTGCAAAGCTTAAGAATATCTCAGAAATATGCTTATGAACTGGTGCGCATGCTGTAAAAAATGTATTTCGTTATTCAGAAATCACATAATAAACCGATCGATGAGTTCTTCACGAGAATTAAGTCGCAATTGGCCAATAGAAAGCTACAAGCAGCTGGATTGCTTTGCTTTGCCCAATCAGTGTCCCCTGACAACTGACGTAAGGGAACCATGCAAGTCATGAACGACCATTAACTGCTGTTTTCCACACTTAAATAGACATTTAATGAGAACACCTTTTGGCACATTCTCGTTGTTGCATATTCTGATAAGTTAAAAGCCTAAGTCAGAACAGAAGGCATTTGCTTTTCCGCGTTTTATTTACATTATATGTTTAATCTAACATCTTCTGGCTATAATGTACCCTTACTTTTTGTTTTTCTTCCCTACGGCCTAGCAATAGACAGCATAGGAATGATTCATAACATCAATTTACTATCATGATCAACGACAGCTCTGTTTATAAACACTACGAAACTGGTTTATCTGCCAATTGACAATAAACTTATTGTATTCCACTCCGTATGTTATCAAACCCTTAATCATCATCACCACTTCTTAATTTTGTTCAATGACAGATCATTCTTGATTCTCGAGATAAATTGCATCACAAATTCATATTATGTTTGGGTTTGCGTCCACTTAACTGTTAGCTAAATGAAATACACACTTCTGATAAGAAAACCAATATTTTCTCCCACTTTAAATGGGCGTTCATTTTGGTTTTTTCCATTAAAAATTAAGTTCTTGTTTAAATTAGATAAAGCAGAAGGATGGATTATTTGAATTTAAAAGTTTTGATTGCAGATGGTTCAAAAATAAAATAATCGAAACAGATTATCAATTATTGATCTGATTAAACAACAAAACTGAACAGTAAATAAAAGTATTATTAGTGGAAACTATTTTTGTCTAGCTGTAAATGTTTTTTTCTAAAATAAAACAGTGCACAAAGCAAACATGCTGCAATGAACAAAGCCCTTGGTGATCTCATTCCTAGCTGAATCTCTTCATTCTTAGCTGAATCTCCTCATTCTGAGCTGAATTAGCTCATTTGTGACACTAAGCTATTAAAATAGCTTACATCCTTTTTTATAAGAATACTAAACATTTTGTCCGGCATTGAGATTCTTAAGAAATTTTCTTTGTGAGCCTGAATATATTCTTTGTGAGCCTGATGTGGTTTCAGGGGAACACCGCCTGCTTTTGAAGATAAACAAAATTTTCGAAAAATGTGCCAATTCTACAACTCCCTGTTATAAACATCGCAAAACCGGTAACTGCTGAAAAATGTGACAAATAGGAGAGCCGAGGCTGAGCAATATTCTTAAAAATTGGATGATTCTGGGCCTGAATATTCTCATTAACAGTATTTTTATAATAAAGAGTGCATTTTCGCAAAGCAGTAGGATGTATAAGATAAGATCAAAACTGGAAATAGATAAAATACATAAAAGCAAATTAAATAAGTTGAGAACAAATAAAAAGGTAAAAACATCGAATCGACAAATGCAAAGAAAAATGTGACGAATCAATTTTTATAGGATCAAATAAGACATAATATCTTTCTAGTAAAATAAGAGACTACATGAAAACAAAGCGGAGATAAAAAGTAGATGATTGCAAGGCAAATGAAAGATGAAGGGAAAAGCAGAGCACATAACGAAGAACAGGACTTTATATCAAGGTATTTTATCAACGGAAACCAAATTGGATGAAAAAATTGTGCACAGAGACCTACAATGCCTGCCAAAAGTCTTGGAACACTGATATCAATTTCCAAGGTCAAAACCAATCACCCCCCTCTCCCCCACGGAACAATTTTGGTTTACTATCAAACGGGTTAGGATTTTAGGAAGCACTTTCTTTTGCGCTTCTTTCATGATATTTCTCTAAATCATCAACATTGTTTGAGGGGGAAGGGGGCGGAAGAAGCAATTTTTTTTCATGAAAGGAATGAAAGATATCAAATGCAGCGTAAATTGGTGGGTGTTCCAAGTACTTTTGGCAGGCATTGTAACGGTAAAATCCGACGGAAGAGAAAAGTAAACAGTGAAGAAGAATGTTTGCTTTATTGCAGTGAGCAATTTTTTGTTTGTGGAGAAAGAGCAATGCACAGGCATGAAGCAGTCTGGGCTTATCTCACTTTAAATATCTGCTGCTCATTTTCTCACAAAATATATGTGTTACTGTTGTTTATGGGCTACTTGAGTGGATAATTTATCAAACTATTTGAAAAGCAGATAGAGCAGATGAA